TGAGTTATATTTTAGAGAGATTGTGCGTCTACATGGAGTTCCAAAGACCATCACTTCAGATAGAGATGTGAAGTTCATGAGTCATTTTTGGAGGACTTTGTGGAGAAAGATGGGCACTCAACTCCAGTTTAGTTCTGCTAGCCATCCCCAAACCGATGGGCAAACTTAAGCTATCAATAAGATTTTGGGGAATCTACTATGAAGTTTTGTGGGAAAAAATCTGCGACAATGGGATCTTATGCTTGCCCAAGCTGAGTTTGCCTACAACAACTCTTCGAATCAAGCTACGAGAAAATGCCCATTTGAAGTAGTATATGGAGTGCGTCCTCTCAGTCCTTTAGATCTTGCTCCATTGCCCACATCCCGACAATTTAGTGTAGATGCTAAACAACGAGCCAAGGAGATCAAGAAACTTCATGAAGAAGTTCGTGAGATGCTACAACGTCAAACCATTAGGTATAAGGCTCATCATGACAAGCACTGAAAGAAGGTAGTGTATAAAGAAGGAGATTGGGTTTGGATACACCTTCGAAAGGAAAGGTTTCCTAATCGACCTAATGTCAAACTCTCCCCTAGAGCCGATGGTCCTTTTAAGATAGTGGAGAAAATCAATGATAATGCCTACAAGATCAAACTTCAAGGTGACTATGGGGTCTCTGCTACTTTCAATGTAGTTGACCTATCTCCTTACTATGAGGAACATGAGCATTGAACTCAAACTCGAGGACGAGTTTTCTCCAACCAGGGGAGAATGCACCAGGGGAAAGCACCAAGAAAGTGCACCAAGAAAGTGCACCAAGATTGCAAGTCAACAAATTTCATACTACACTCTGCAGACTACAAATAGGCCAGTGCAATTTTGTCAAAAATGGCCACTAAATTCCACAAAGATGGCTAACTCCCAACTGCATTTTCGCTTTTCATTTATTGCCTTATGTTAGATTTTGCCTATAAATAGCTATGTTCCATTCGTTGTATGCATAAGTTTCAATCAAAATTTCAGTTTATATTTCTCCTTTTTTGAGTGAGATTTTTGGGAGTGGATTCTCTTAATTTATCTCTGTATCTTAGGTCTTATCAACCTAAGTGATGAACTTGGCAATCGAATTTATCATAGCGGGATTCTAAATCTCACCAAAATCGGTGTTTCGGTATCGGGTCCTACGCCAACTAAGTAACATGCATCTACCTTGTATCCAACCCCAACTTACAGACAATCTTATAGAAATGATCTAATATTGATGGTTGACATGATGGGATAGTTGACACTGGAAATTTTTTAGTAGAGGTAGAAGGAAAATGGCATTATATCCATTAACCAGAAGAACGCACCTGTTATTACTCATCAACGTGCTCCCTTAGGAAGAAGCTCCAGCATCATAAGATCACCATATCGATATCCTTCCAGTCTCTGAACTGATTCCATATATAGGTCCCTTTCTGCTCAGTGTCAGTGAAGAGGATAACAATTGGAGACGGTGACATAGCCACCATCCCTTCCAGCCTGGTACGAATAGCCATTGACGAAGAGGATGTTGCCATTGCAAAAATCCTATTCACGCAGTGAGTCCATAAAATGCTCAATTCTAATTGCTATCAACCTGTAATCTGAGGAGAGGCGTTCCGAGAGAGCTCCGAATGTCGATCGAGAGATAACCCCTCTGAGAACTATAAACGCAGGACAAGGTTGAATAGGCCAGTTTGCTTTGGCGCTAAAAAGCGGCGTCGTTTACTGCCGGTGACGTTTTTGTCTTTGTTTTCTAATAAAAAAATACTTTGTAGAGCAAACTGTAAATTAAAATTAAAAGTAAAAGTAAAGGTCACTTTATAAATTTATTAAAATATTTTTAATAAATTTATATAATATATTATCTAAACGGTAAAAC